AATTTTAATTTTTTTTTTTGGGGTTTCTTTGGGCGATGACGCGTTTTTCTTGTTCTGAGTTTGGAATATATATCAACCTTTTCTTCACTCAAAGGTTACCCCAAAAAAAAAAAACCTGCAAGCTGTTGGCTTTGTATAATCTTCGTCATCCCCGAAGTCCAAACCCACCCTTCCTTCAACGCAAAGAACAAGTTATGCACTGGATTTACGCATTTTCTTTATTTGTGTTTTTTTATTTCTTAAATATTTTAATTGACGGGGTTTTGTTTGGCCTGAATATTTGAATCCTGCAAGTTCAGGGAAAGTGATTTTCTTATTCTCGTCAATCTTCATGAACCCAACGGGTTAGGTAGGTGGAAATTTGGCACAGATATTGTGCTTTTTTTTTTTTTTCCTGAAAAGTTTGTATTCCCTTTCTAGGCAATATGGATATTTAGTTAAACGTTCACACAATGATATATGCATATATATTATATTAAGTCACTTTACATGTACAGAGTTAAAGTGAAAATTTGTCTAAAAAATTTCACTAAAGAGCATTGAACACAAGATTTTTTGGAGTATAAACTCACCCTGAAGATTTAAAATCATAGCAATGTGTCCCATACCATTAAAAATATTAATGGTCAGCATTAATCTCTTCACAATATGGAATAATATTATTACGATTTTAAAATTTCAGGTATTTAGTACTTTTGAGTGAAAACTTATGAGACAAGTTTACATCTTAATGTTATATATGTGTCTATGTGTGAGTCAATTTATGCACTATCAGCGAGGAACAAAGCTTATTTTAAGGGATATTTGAAATTTCTTAAACTAATTACTTCATCCAATTCTAAAAAGAGTGTTTGGAATGTGCAAAAAATACTTCTAAAAAGTGCTTTAACATAAACGGAGACAAAAATCTTCTCACATATTACTTCCAGTCTTAATTATAAGACTTTGTTTGCAAATTATAAATAATGTTTTATAATTAGGTAGTATTTACTTTCATATTGTAGAATAACTTTTAAAACTATAGTTTGGTTTCTTACAAAACAAAAACATTTTTTTAAATTTTACACTACAAAAATGAATCTTTTATTTAGAATCATAATTATATTTTTGTATTTTTGGGAAGCAAATTTTTTTTATATATTTATTTCCTACAAAGCAAAAGTCTTTTTTTTTTTAAAAAAAAAAGACTTTGTGAAGAGGAATTATTGGTGGAATTGAAGTTGTTGTCTTGCATGCATCAAACCACATGCTCTCCCAGATCGACCAATCTTCTGCATGCTCTCCCAGATCGACTAATCTTCTTGCCCCTGTTCCGATATTATCTCTTACATTTTTTATTCCATCTAAAAATTGTAAAAGTGTAAACTACACGTTACTGCCATGATTGCGTTGAATGATGATTGAGGACTTTGCAAAAACGGACCACTTTTCTCTTCTCGCTCCCTCTGAACTAGCTGGTTTTCTCCATGAACCTCGCCTTCCAAATCAGGCTAGCCTCCCTTCTCTTTCACGTAGTCCATGGCTGGGTTCTCACTCTTTGCTATTTGAGAATCCCCCACCCCCCCCCCCAAAAAAAAAAGGATTGGCCATATACAGGCTATTGCGAAGACAAAAAAAAAAATACAACTAATCTCTTCTTATTAATAAGTTGTTATCTGTGATGGTAAATAGTCTTACTTTTATAAAGAGAAAAACATAAGTTCAAATTTTGAGAAGCATATTTGTTGAGAGGTCTTTAATTTTAACACTTTCGATTTGACAGAGATTAGTTTTAAGCTCAAAATGATTTAAAAATATTTTAAGCTATGAAAAAAGTCTCTTTCTATGAAAATCCAATTTATGAAAAAGCATAAATACCTAAACTTTAGAAATAAATAGTGCAGAGTTCAGTTTGGTAATGAACTAAAATTTGAATTCTCATTAAAAAAAACAGCTCACATTAAAAAAATTGAATAAGTGTTGAATGCACATAGTAAATAACACCAAGAGTAAGGTTAATTTTTGGGATCACTCAGGCTTGAAATTTAACGTGGAATCTTTCTTTATTTGAAAACTGATTGAATTGACTGATTAAGATCTGTAGAATTAAATTAAAATGTTAGCATTGAAATGACTACCCGCCAAGTCTGGTAATTTAATAAATTCAATTAAAATTTTTATCTTTTAAAAATGGTTGTTTTATTATTAGTAATGTCATTAAAAATATAATATGATACCCTATAATATGATCATCCAATGTCGAAGGGAAAAAAAAAAAACATCATCAAATGCAATGCAATGTGCCTGGAAATATAGTCTTTGCCGATATATCTCCATTTCTTTATTTTTTTTTTTTTTTGTGGTAAAGTATATTTTTTCCCTTTTTAATTAACCGAACAACGTTTTGTTCTTCCTGGGGCCTCGTCGCCGTGAGAGACATCTGTTTTCAAAGAATGGTGCCCAAATATACACATTCCGTATTGGGCCCTCAAACCGGGCCTAATAGGTCAGTCCACTGCAATCATGGAGCACAGTGAAAAAGCTCTCTTAGGCCCCAATTAGACAGGGATTCTGCAAAAAAGAAAATCCATAAAAAAGGTGTTTCTCCTTTGTTTCACCAGTGAGAAAAACAAAAGTTTCAACATTTTATAATGGTCAAATTGTACCTCTGGTCTTTTACCAAATAAAACTTCAAAAATATATATTTTTAGTTTTTTAATTTTAAAATTGTTGACGTTAAATTTTTTGACAATAATGATAGTTTTAAAAATTAAAATTATTATATTAGCATTTGGTATTTTCCTAATAGTTTTATGGTTAAAATACTAAAAATATATTTTTTAAAGTTAAGAGACTAAATTCTTAAATTGAAACTTTTTGTAAAATTAAAAGATAAAATATATATTTTATCTTTTTAAAAATTATAAATAGATAAAATTCATGCTTATCTCACACTTACATATAGCATGCTGATGTTTACTCGGGAAAAAAAGAAAGGGAGAATTGTAATTAGGTCCTACTCAAGAAAATTAAATAAAAAAGGTTCATTGAAATTGTGAAATTATTCTGAAGTCCTAACTTTTTTTTAAATAAATTTTATTTGTTTAATTATCAAATTACCCTTCTTCTTTTTTAAGTTTGCATTGACAACCGAAAGAGCAGTAGTTGACAACTTAAGGTGCAATGATTGACAATTATCACAACTTGTTTGACAACTCATGTATTACATTTTCTGATATGCTGATAAAATGTGTTGTCAAACCAGCCGCGATATTTGTCAATCTTTGCACTTTAAATTGGCAACCACTGTTCTTTCAGTTGTCAATACAAATTTAAAAAGAAAAAAGAAGGGTAATTTGGCAATTAATCAAATAAAATTTATTACAAAAAAGTTTATTGAGACTTCAAAATAATTTCATGATTTTAAAAGACCTTTTTGTATTTAATTCCTGGGACCTAATTGCAATTTTTTTTTAAAAAAAAATTCTCCTATGAGAGCACATACACAAACAAAACAACTCGACCAAACCAGCCCAGCCAGGCAACGCAAGGTCGATTCAGTCCCTATTGGTGCAGAAGGGGAAAAAAGGGAAAGAAAGAGTTAGCCCAATAAGATATTCTAGAATATTTGTGGTCAATAATGGCCCCGATTAGGCTGCAGGGTTTGGACAAAAAACCTGGAATCGGGGTGTGTGGGGCGTTTAAAATGTGTGTGGACATAAAATTATAAAAAAACAAAGAGTTAATCAAATTAATAAGGATTCGACTTCTAACTCATAAAGTCATGAATTCAAAATCCATTTCTAATATAAGAATTTTGTTAGTAGGTGATTTGTAAGTATTTCTGTAAACACTCTCTGAGCCTAAATGTATGCTTTGGCTCTGGTGAAGCCCTGATACTCAATTCACCAAAAATTTTTTGTACCAAAAAAATTAATTAAAAAAATAATTACCTTATTTATTTGTGTTTTGGGCTTGACTTTATTACAATTCAATCCTTGAAGCTTAACTTAATAAGAGTCCGTTAAATTTTGGTCATGTTACCAACTAGTCTGTATATTTTATGATCCAATTACGACTTAATATTTAAATGATCAGATGATATTCTAAAAGCATTACAAGCATTGTATTAAATACTTGAAACTTATAATGGAACGAATTTGACAAGTTAAGCTCGCTAGAAGTTGAATCGTAATTAAGCTGAAAATATCTGGATTAAATAATTATTTATTCATAAACACAGAGATATACCGGTCAGTGCAAGCATTTTTTAAAAGACTATATTTGTTTCCGTACATCGCATATAGCGTACATTACATATAAGTGAAATGGTTGGGAGAAAAACATTACATATACTGATAATCACCTAAAAAAGTAAAAAATAACAGGAGAAATTATAATAAAATCCCACAAAAAAGAAATAATTATTAAAAAGTCTCAACAACAACCTCAACAGCCTATAATGACAAGTCATATAGTGAGAATGACAACCTTTGAGAGATTGGGACTTGTTTTTTACTTGTTTTTCTTATTTGGGACCTCATTGTCATTCGCTCAAAACAATAAGCAATAACTAAAAACAATTAATAGAAAGTGAAAAACAAAAAGTATATATATCTTGCGCCAATAAGTAGAAACATGTAATATAATACCTCTTATCCTTAATATAAGGATTGATTATTTGAGTAGATTAAGAAAACTAATCAAATTAGTTATTTGTAAAAAATAAGTATTGTATTTCTTAAATTATTCTTACTAATTAAGTGTATTAGTTAGAATTATTATTATTATAAGAATTAATTTAAAATAAATAAATATAAAAAACAAAATAAATTAAAATTTTATTTTTAAAACCAAAATAAAAATTAAACTAGTTTTTATATTAAATACTGGACTTACTATTATTTTTAACCGAAAGAAATACGTATCTGAGAAATCACATGAAACTAATAATTAAACTAATAATTAGACCCGATATAAATAGTTAATTTCCCAATCAAAATTCTTTGTCCATCAAATCTCAGGCCCTCCTCCCCTCCGGCGTGGGTAGGTGGATGTATGCAGAGCCAGACAGGCTAGCCAGAGTTTCTAGTTTCCACTACCATCTTAGATTTTCCCGCCGATCATTCTTAGTCGCCGGCACCGGCAGGAACTTCCTCTTCCTTTTAATTCTCCTATTGCATTTGATTCCAATCAATCTCCTGCCCCCTCAGGCCTCTTCCTACAGTCCCCAGTAAGCGTCTTCCTCCATCTACTTTCTCTGTCTGAAATTTCTGTCTTCTTTCTATGCCCTTTCTTCGTCTGAGATCTTTCTGCCTTCTTTTTATTTCTCGAGAGACCTACACGCGCAGGTTTTGTCCGTATTGATGCGGGTAGATTGGATATATACATGAACTCAATTGATGGGGCATAAAAAGCGAAACCCTGCCCCACGTTCCAAACAATCTGTGGCGGCTTCTCCGGTGACACAATCTGCCATCGGCGGAGCCGCCAATGGCCCTACTTCAGCCGAGTCAGAGCTGTGCATGAGTTCTAATGACACTATTCAAAGCGCGACCAAGATCGAGCTGTCTCCTCAACCCGAGCCTTCGGTTTACTCCACAATCAAGCTTGAATGTGAACGGGCCCTCAATGCGCTCAGACGTGGTAATCACACTAAGGCACTGAGGCTTATGAAGGAGTCATGCTCCAGACATGACGGCTCCGCTTACTCTGCCTTGATTCATCGAGTTCAGGGTACCGTATGTGTCAAAGTGGCCTCAATTATTGATGACCCAAGTGCGAAGCAAAGACATTTGAAGAATGCAATTGAGTCTGCGCGAAGAGCCGTTGAGCTATCGCCCAGTTCTGTTGAGTTTGCCCATTTTTATGCAAATTTGTTATACGAGGCAGCAAATGATTCGACCGAATACGAGCAGGTGGTGAAGGAGTGTGAAAGGGCACTCGGGATTCCAAATCCAATTGATCCTGCAAAGGAGAGCTTGCAGGATGAGAGCCAGCAGAAAATATCAACCCCTGACGCCCGTATAGCTCATGTCCAGAATGAGTTGCGGCAGCTAATTCAGAAGTCAAACATAGCTTCCTTATCAACGTGGATGAAAAATCTGGGTAATGGGGAGGAGAAATTCCGTTTGATTCCAATACGGAGGGCAACAGAGGACCCAATGGAGGCGAGGTTGGTTCAAACTAGAAGGCCAAATGAGATAAAAAAGGTGACCAAGACTCCCGATGAGAGAAGAAAAGAAATTGAAGTTCGAGTTGCTGCTGCAAGGCTATTGCAGCAAAAGTCAGAGTCACCCCAATCCCAGAACCAAGGGGAGAGGGATGGCAGGACAGTGGATTCATCTTCAGGATCTGGGCAGAGGATCAGTGAGAGGCGGAAGCATGGTCATGTCCGAAAAGCTGGCTCTACATCTGAAAGGAGAGATTGGGTTCGTTTATATTGGAATTTGATGAGTATTGATTTGAAGAGGGAGTTCCTTAGGATTAGGGTATGTGATCTCAAATCTCACTTTGGGTCTTCAAAGGATGCTTTGCTGAATGACATTGTAGCAGAAGCTTTGTCGTATGCTGAGGCCAACAAAACATGGAGATTTTGGCTTTGCTGCCGCTGTGGTGAGAAGTTTTCAGATTCGGAGTCTCACATGCAGCATGTTGTGCAGGAACACATGGGGAATCTTTTACCTAAAATGCAAAGACTTTTGCCTCAAAATGTTGACAACGAATGGATTGAGTTGATATCTAAGTGTTCTTGGAAACCTCTAGATGCATGTGCTGCTGTGAAAATGCTTGAAAGTCAAGCAAAATGTGATGATTTTTCATTTCCTGAGGATTCCTATGTGGATCATATCGAGGAGCACCATGATTGCTTTAAAGACTCTAATTATTTTTTGCCTAAAAGGGGACATGACCTTGGTAGCTGTACACCAGATAGAAGTAACTGTTATAAATCTGAGGAAACTGGTATTGCAGATGGTGTTGAAGTTGAACGGTCTGTAGCATATTCCCATTCTGATGGTTGGCCATTGTCAGATGACTCTGAGCGTGCAAAGCTTCTTGAGAAAATTCATGCAGTACTTGATATGCTTATTAGACACAAATATCTTGCTGCTAGTCATCTTGGCAAGGTCATACAGTTTACCATGGATGAGATACAGGGACTTGCTGCTGGATCTCAGCTTTTGAACCATGGTTTAGACCAATCACCAACGTGCATATGCTTTTTGGGAGCCCCACAACTCAAGAAAATTCTCAAATTTTTGCAGGAGCTGTCTCATGCTTGTGGTTTGGGCAGATATGTTGATAAAAGTATTAGTCCCATGGATGATTTACACAATTCAAATCAAATTCCCGAGATTAAAGAGAAGATTGTTCTCAATGGAGATGCATCATGCCTTCTTCTAGATGAATGTTTAGTGCCTGCAGAAATCACTCCTAGTGCTACTAAGAGTGCTGCATTGGATGATGTGACTACCCCGACCTCTAATGATGTTGCTTCACACACCGATCCTTTCCTATCTTGGATATTTTCAGGTTCATCTTGTGGGGATCAATTGACTTTGTGGATGAGAACAAAAGAAGATAAAAGATGTCAAGGAATGGAACTTGTCCAGACTCTTGAGAAGGAGTTTTATCACCTACAGAGCCTTTCTGAGAAGAAATGTGAGCGAATGAATTATGAGGAAGCACTGCAGGTTGTAGAGGACCTTTGCCTAGAAGAAGGTAAGAAGAGGGAAAATTTCACCAAATTTGTTCAGCAAAGCTATGGATCTGTTTTGAGAAAGCGGAGAGAAGAGCTCATTGAGAGTGAAAATGATGTCATGTATGTTGGCAATAGATTTGAGTTGGATGCCATAACAAATGTTCTGCAAGAAGCAGAGGCAATGAATGTTAATCAATTTGGTTATGAGGAAAACTATACTGGTGTATGTGACGTGGAATCTGGTGAAGATGATGAATGGAGAATGAAAGACTATTTGCATCAAATGGATAGCTACATAGAAATAGCCATTCAGAAACTGAAGGAAAACCTATCTGTGGAGGTTAGTTTGTTTACTCTAGTTAGTTTTACTAGGTTAACATAGACAATGACCTCATTAGTGTTCTTACTTAATTTATCATGCAGCTTAGCAAAATTGATGCACGGATCATGAGAAATGTTACAGAGATGCAGCAGTTGGAACTGAAGCTTGAGCCTGTTTCTGCTTTTGATTATCGTGCAATATTACTTCCTCTAGTGAAGTCGCACCTAAGGGTTTGTATTCCAACTTTTGAAACACGTGCTGGTGCTTCACATTTCAGTTTGCCAGCTTTATTGTTATTATACTCTTTTCAGGCACGTTTGGAAGATTTGGCTGAGAAAGACGCAACGGAGAAGTCTGATGCAGCACGAGAAGCATTTTTGGCTGAGCTTGCTCTTGATTCAAAGAGGGGCTCTAAAGGGGGAAGTGATAGTGCGAAACATATGGAGAAAACAAAAGATAAGAAGAAAAATAAAGAAAACAGAAAAACAAGGGATTTGAAGGTATGGTTATGAGTGATGAAATTTGTCTGCATACTGGGTCACTGTCCATGACAACCAACTATTGTCTGTCTTGCAGGCTACATATGGTCATGAGCCGCACAATGTTGACACCACTACTCCCGAGTTAGTATATTTTTCCATATTTATCTTCCTGTGATCATCTTAGCTATTTTTGAGAGACATAGCAACTTTTATAAATGCCTTTGATGTGCTTCTGCTGCAGTTCCTATTCCCTTGAGCGTGATAAGGACCATGATTCCATTCCTGTTTCTACGATTAGTGTTGACTTGGAACAACAGGAAGAGGAAGTTAGACGTAAAATTGAGTTAGAAGAAGAGGAAAAAAAACTTGAAGAAACTTTGGAGTTACAACGTCGAATAGAAAATGAGGCTAAACTGAAGCACCTTGCTGAGCAACAAAAAAAATCCTCTGGGACATATTTGGAGAAGCCGGCTGACAAAGTTCTGGATTGTCAATTAAAGGCCGTTGCTGATGGCCTAGAAAGACCGCCCATGCTGGTATGTTCTCTTGCTTGAGTTTCTCCTATACCTGGCAGGGGGTAGAATTTCTGGCTTGCAGTTATTAAGTTACTGTTGCATTTGAGAATTGGAAAGCGAATATCCAACCTAGTGAAATTTTTAGATGCGAATTAGGTCTTACAGGAATTATGCCTCTGAACTTTTAACTTTTTCTCAGGAGCAGTTAGCAAATGAGAATGCTTACCCTCGCAATTTAGATGGTGTGCTTATTGCCACATCAAATGGTTCTGCAGTTCCAAACAAATCTTTACTTGATTCAGTGAATCAAACGATTCATCATATGGACCCATCAAATATTAGGCAAGGTTGGTACTCTTTTTCTAAGATCTTGTAACTTGCAGTATTTGCTTTTCTTGTCCAAGGTCCTCATCATGTGCTTCTTTCTTCAGCAGATCTGTCTAACAAAGTAGTTCCTGAGAATGGTTTTCACTTGGCTGAGCCGCGTACAGGGAAAAAGGGTAAACGCCATAGAAATGCTTCCAGGTTGGCTGATGGAAAGTTTGAGGCTGTCTCATCGGATAAAGAGAATGTTGGTGCACATGCTGATAACCATTTAAGAGAGCATGTTAAATTCCACAGCAATCAGGATGCTAACGACGGTTAGTTTTAACCTTTTTCAAGGTCTAATGTCCCTGATATGTTGGTTAGGTTACCTTTTATCTTGGGTTTGTCTGCAGTTGATGTACATCATTGTTAGTTTATGGTCTATATCCTAATGACCCAGGAAAATACACGAGGATGCATAGTTGCTTAACAGCATTCAATGAAAATATTTTATTTAAAACATACTTTCTTTATTGTACGACAGGAAGGGTCTTTAAGGCTTAGCAGACTGAATTCAACATTTAAAATGGGAATTGAGGGGGAAAATTGTGGATTTAGTGTTCATTGGTGGTATCTTAAGAAAGAGCAATCTGTGTGCAACTGGGTGTGGTTTTAAGGGATGTTTAGTGGCTAAGAATTTTGTCTATGGGAAGACGGTTTTGAATTTGATCGGTTTAGGAGGAAAACCAAGCTAGAACTGATAGCATTGCAACTCGCTATTCAAGCACTCCTTTGGGCTTAAAGGAGGAAGGCTAAGGCCCTATTTGCATCCTCAACAATCAACACACACACACATTATGGGTTTCTAATGTAACAAAGTGGAAAGTCTTGAAGTAACTTCAGAAACATCCTTCCAATCCTCTCACCCTTTTGTGAGTTAATTAGATCTTTGATACATTATAATTAGTTGATTGTCCACAATTACTGGAAAACCCTGATATTGAAACAACTTGATCTTCCTTTTCTAATTCTTGATGTGAATGTGTCCTGCGTCCATTGTACTGCTAAATTAGATCTAGAATCAGATTAGATTGCCATTATATTTAGTCGCATTACTCCTGCTGTTGTTTTGGCTGTGAAAACTCCGTCAATATGCCTAAAGAAGGCATCTATTGAAAATATTATCTGCCATATGGAAACTAAGTGTTAGTGCTTTGTCATCAGTGCAAGGAGACAATGAATCAATGACTCTGAAAGAGTTGCAAGTGGAGCATGATGAGGAGGAAAGGTTCCAAGCTGACCTAAAAATAGCTGTACGCCAAAGTCTGGGTATGATTTTATGTGACATGCTGCTGCTGCTATTTCATGTATATTTTTTATTAGTATCCCCATACATGTTGCATAACATTACTATATGATTGGTTCTTTACTAGTAAAACTCAGGAATAAGAAGAACGGGATCTAATTTACCATCTCCAAGTTGCAAACACAACATATTTTGTATAACGTGAATAGAGGCTTCACTTGTATTCTACTAATCTTTGGTCCGACCTGAGTAATTGGGGCATTATATGTTTCAATTTGGTTAGCGTGTCTGCTATATACGGTTATAATTGTAAGTTGTACATCTTTGATGAATCTGAACAATTATTTGCACTTCCGTTGGACTCCAAGTCCAACTTTCTCCATGATTTGATAGTTGGATTTTCATATCATCTGTAGTTGATAAAACTAGCTGCTTTTGTCACATGGGATAAAATATCATTCACTTTCAGTGATAGCGTGCTTAAAATGCTTGAGGGACCCATTGCCTGTGGTAGGGGTGAAGGGCTAAATGTTGTGGGATTGCAATTGCCCTTAATTGAAAATGAGAGTTAAAGACTACTTTCTGGGAAACCTAGGTCCCTTACATGTCCTTTAATTTGTTCAGTTTCTAATATCGCCATAATTTCTTATGGGGCTATTGATGGACCTAGCCTAGATTACTGTTTAGCTTTCTATGATTGGGCAAACGTGTTTGCATAATATTACATCACCTACCTGAGGAAAATTTTCTGGCTTTCTCTCTTTGAATTATTATGGAAAATTTGATGGCTCTCTGACCTTGTTTGAGGTACTGCCTATTCAGACACATATCAAGCTCTTCAAAAATTGCCTCCAGATTCTAGATTGAGAACGCCAGATAGAGCTTCTTCGCAAGTAGATAATTTTGGTGCTCCACTGGAGGAGAACACAACTGAGAATGTCAATGGAGGTAGTTTGCTTGGTGCCGGGTTGAAGAATGAAGTGGGTGAATATAATTGCTTTCTCAATGTTATAATACAAGTAGGTCGTCAATTTCTTCAACTTGTGATAATTTCTTAAATGCATGATATATTTTATTGTCTAAAACTTTCTTTGTTTTGAGCTCAGTCTTTGTGGCATTTGCAACGTTTTCGTGAGGAGTTTCTTAGCAGATCAAGATCAGAGCATGATCATGTGGGTAATCCTTGCGTTGTGTGTGCATTGTATGATATCTTCGCTGCCATGGGAATTGCGTCAAAGGATTGCAGGGGAGAAGCTGTAGCCCCTACTTCTCTGAGAATAGCTCTAAGCAATCTATGTCCAGATAGTAACTTCTTTCAGGAGGTAACACCACCAAGATATGATTGTATCTCTTGCCCTAAAATTCCTAGTGGTTGAGCATGACGTAAAAGACATAATGTATTTCTTGCGCGAGCAATGTGATTTATATGCTGACTTTCCACAGGCTCAGATGAATGATGCTTCTGAAGTACTGGCAGTGGTATTTGACTGCCTTCACCGATCATTTACTCGTGGTTCAAGTGTTTCTGATACAGAATCAGTGGAAAGCAACTCCATGGGATCTTGGGATTGTGCAAACAGTAGTTGTATAGCACATTCACTCTTTGGAATGGATATTTTTGAACGGATGAACTGCCATCACTGTGGTCTTGAGTCCAGGCATCTGAAGTATACTTCCTTCTTCCATAATATAAATGCCAACTCCCTTCGGACCATGAAGGTATCTTTGGACCTCCAATTACTTTATGTTTTCTCCCTCTTTCATTCTGGTGGAAACATGAGTTCACAATTATGCTTGTTAAGACCTTAGCTGGATCCCCTTCCATATTCTGCAGGTAATGTGTAGTGAAAGCTCCTTTGATGAGCTTTTGAATGTAGTGGAGATGAATCATCAGTTAGCTTGTGATCCAGAAGCTGGCGGCTGTGGCAAGCTAAATTACATCCATCATTTTCTTTCAAAACCACCTCATGTTTTCACAACTGGTAGCTCGGATGTTTCTTTGGAATGTTCGTTGTTTTCCATTTGCTGTGCCTTCTTGGGCCTTTTATCTTATTTATGTTTGGTATATACAGTTCTAGGTTGGCAAAATACATGCGAGAGTGCTGATGATATTAAAGCAACTTTGGCAACGCTGAGCACCAAGATGGACGTCAGTGTTCTTTATCGTGGGTTAGACCCAAAAAGCATTCATAGCTTGGTTTCCGTGGTAAGGGGCTTTTATTTATTTATTTATCTTTTTAAGGCTAAGGTTCAATGTTGAGCATTTGAGTGATCATAGTTTGAGATGGTGTTTATAGTTATACTAACATCTCCCCCCCCCCCTTCTGTGCTCGTGTGCTTGTAAGATAGAAAGTTTAGCTCTCTTTGGGAATAAATATGCAATTTAAGCATTTTAAGAATAAATTTTTTTAGTAAAAAGGTTTTTTGAAAATGGGCATAATTTACAATTTTCTGTTTAATCAGGATCTAGACCTCTAGTGTTTGTACTAGGAGGAGGAGAACGCTGACCTGGAAATAATTTTAGCCACTCAAAACTCCCCCCCTCTCTATTATTGTGTTGTTTATTTTTTTTTAAATGCAACACAAGACTATACCAAACAAAATGAGTTCCTCATGTATCTACTTGATAATTTGCAAACGAGTATTATACTCGTATGGTCATATCTATATTTTATTAAGGAAGATGGGAAGGATGAGTGGCTTCCATCCTGTCCTTCCAATTTTATATAGATCGGGAGTACCATTATTCAGTTTGTGGGTAAAGTGATGTCTCATTCGCATGCCCACCTTTTTACTCAGTATTACAGGATGCTGTTTTGAATGGATGTGTATCAATGATCCTGTGCAATTCAAATATTCTGAATGACTTATTTGCCGAAATGTTTTTACAAATTTCTAGGTATGCTACTATGGGCAACACTATCATTGCTTTGCTTATAGCCATGAACATGAGCAATGGATTATGTATGATGATAAGACAGTCAAGGTAAGTTGAATCTTTGAAGTGGAAGATTCATTTCTTAAGTTTTTCCCTTGTGTTTACAATCTTTCATTATTCTACAGATAATTGGTGGGTGGCTTGATGTTCTTGCAATGTGTGAAAGAGGGCATCTACAACCTCAGGTTCTTTTCTTTGAAGATGTAAACTAATTTTCTCGGGGGAACTGATAACATCATCTTTGGTAATGGAGAAAATAACGGTGACATGGTTTGGTACTCAACTGGTTCCGTGTGAAGCCCTGTTCATGTGGATGCATTGCTGCTTAGACAGAAGTGGTATCCAGGGGCAAATAATATAGCAAGGTTCTCCAGAGGCAACAAATTTTGGCATACGTAGGTCAATTTTGATACTGGATATGGTAGGAAGGATGGTTTCGAGGGGGGAGGGGTTGAACGAATCGTGCACCAAAATTTTTTTATACTAACCGGATGCATTTGGACGCTGAAGAGCTTAGGGAGACTTTACATAATTGGTCCATTTTGGGAGCATAATTGTCAATTCTCGTTTACATTCAATAAGCAGGCTCTGTTTTGGGACGTAGCACCAAAATATGTGGACGTTACCAGCTCTGCGCGGGAAGATCTTGTGGTGAAAATGAGGACCTATTGTTTTCAGGAATTATTTTGTTGGAGGAGCTATTAAAAAAAATGCATATTAGTTGGAGGGGAATATGTTTTATTTCCAGTGGCTTTTCCCTTATCCTCCCTACCTCCCCACAAACAAACCAAGGTGATTTTAGAGAGCATCTGTATAGCTTACAAACAATTACATATTTTTTTGAGGAAATGTCATCTTGTTGCAGCTAAAAAGAGTGTAGTTTCCTGATCTATATTCTATTTGAATTATGATATGTACGGGGTTTTGTTTGTGCAGCTGTGAACCGAGCAGTCGCTTCCTCGTTTCATTGAAATTCTTTTTTTTTTTTGCGGGTCCCGGTGGTTTGGTGGATTTGTATTCTGCATAAGCAAGCTTGTTAGCTTTATCGTTGTATTAATGATGCATCTTTCCCGCCATACCGTTGGATATTCTGAGCTGACCCGATCCGGTTCGCTTTCTCTGATTTGCAAACCATTAATTAATATTATCTTCTATCCTTAATTGACTAATTTGAGTAGATTAAAAAAATAAATTAAGTTAGTTGTTTGTAATAAACAAGTGTTATTTTTTCTACAATATATTTATTAATCAAGTTTATTAGTCAGAACTATTCATATTAAAAGTACTATCTTAGGAAAAAAATAAATAAGTATAAAGGTAAAGTAAATTAAAGTTTTATATTTAAGATTAAAATAAAAATTAAGATCTTATATTAAATACCAAAGATAGTATCACATCTACAAAGAGTTGCATCACAAATACTTCCTTTTTTAATAACCCGGCCAATAGATGTAGACCAATTGGCCAACTTCTTCCCCCAACCAGAAAGAGGAGGCAGTTCCTTTTAATTTTTTTTTTCAAAAAAAAAAAAATAAAACGGAAGTCCTGAGCAAAATTTACCCCACGAAATAAATCTGTTGACTAAATTTTCCAACACAAACGACCTACCTCCCAAATCAAATTACGACACGCGCACGAAAACGGGTGACAAATTTTCCACAATAAATAAAAAAATGAAGTTGGAGTAGTTATGAGCATGAGGCAGCCCCACAACCTAGGATTAAGGAATCCCCACATTCATAACAAGTGTCCCTGACGGTTCTCTCACCCAATTCCGAGCAATTCGCCTCTCTCTCTCATCCTTCCTTCTACTCAGTCTCTCCATACCCACCACATTCGCCTACTAACCCATCCACCTCTGATCAAAATGCACCCACTTCCCTCTCCCTCTCTCTCCCCCCTCCTTACAGTTTTTTCCATTTACCAATATCTCTCCTCCATGCATTGCTTCTCGCCTTCATCATCGCGGAAATCAGTTCATCATCACGCAGAGGAGTCTCAGCATTTGACTTGGTTGTGAGACAAAATGACCCTTAAAGGTGGCACAAAGCAGGCCTGCGCTGCTTGCAAATTTCAGAGAAGAAAGTGTACCCCAGAATGCGTCCTCGCTCCTTACTTCCCCGCCGACCAACCCAAAGCGTTTCAGAATGTCCACAAGCTATTTGGAGTCAGCAATATCGAGAAGATATTGAAGAACTTAGATCCCAGCCAGAAGAAAATAGCCATGGACTCCATCATTTGCCAAGCTAATTACAGAGATAAATACCCTGTTCATGGCTGCTGGGAAGAGATTTGCAGGCTTAGTTACCAAATATGGTACGTTGAAGAAGAGCTTCGTGCTGTTCATCAGCAACTAGAGATTTACAGACAACATTCTTTGCAGCACCAAGGTTCTTCATCTTTAACGGTTGATGATGTCACTTCGCGGTTAGAGTTGGGGATGACACCCCGTAATAATTATGCACTACCACTCTTCAACCATAGTCCTTCGATAAACCTAGAGACATATAATTCAGAGGTTGCTTTGCCTGCAGTTTCCGATCAACATTCTTACTGCAACAGTAATAGTAATGTGGGTTACAACTCCATGGACGTGGAATCTAAGGATCATGTTGTTACACCAAATAGCTTGTGGGTCCAGCAGCTTCCCTGCCAAGATGATGATGGCGATTCCATGGCCATGGCCATGCACTCCCAGTTGGAGTTGGGTGCCTCGCAGCCAATGGACATGCAACAAAAAGTTGTCGGAGAATATTACGATGAAATGGGTCCACTTTTTTGATGTAATCGATGGTAGGCAATCTTATAATTATTCTTAGGAGGCTTATGAGGAAAGGTACCTTTTTTTTTTTTTTTTTTTCCTTTTTTACTTGCATGATTATCAATCAGGGATCAGACCGTAACGAATGTGTAAATGTGCCTGCGGTTCAGAAAAATGTTTGAAAGATACGAGAAAGTGCACTGAGGATCGATGAATTGAGCCAATCTTTTTTCTCCCAACAAAGAGAAAGTATGTATATTAAGGTTTCTTTCTCCTTTTCCTTCGGGGTTTCATTTTTCTTGGTAAGCTTTCTATTGTTAGTTAAGGAATCCGTTGCTCGTTGACATTTTGGCTGGGGAAAAATACCCTCCACTTGTTTATCATCAATTGGATGGATTTGCGTTTCAACGAAAAGCATCCAGATTGGCTACTACACATTTTACAGGTTGGAAGCAAAAATTTAACAACCATTCATCTCTCTTTCTTCAACGATTCCTTCATATCACTTTGTCCTGAGATAGTTAACTTTATCTATAAACAGACATTAAGGTGTCAATTTGATGGTTCATTAATCAACTCTGGGCCTGTTGATATACCTCTAGCTCACCAGAATTTCTGGTAACTTCTCATTCTTCTTGGCATTATATGATTGAGATAAATATCCAAAAATGTTGGGAGCTCTTTTTGCGTAAACAGCAAAATTAAGGGAACAGAACATAAAATAAATATCTAACAGAAGAAAATAGCCCATGAGGTTTAGAATTTCTTGGTTTTTTCAGACTGACGATGCGCAACTGTTCATAATATTTTGCAGAGGAAGAGAAGAACATAATATTCTAGTTCAAAGGCAACAAGATAATTATTCTTACAAAAAAGACTAATTATTGGCACAAACCCTAGAGGCAAACATCGTGTCGCACGTACAGTCTGACATCCAGGATAAAGGGGCTGCTGGAGAGGAGCAATTATTCCTGTTAATGGAAGAGTCATATGACTCTGGTGTTGTAGGACCCACAAGAAGAACATTTGTGGTAAAGCCAGTGGAAGGGAGCGGTTCCTTTCTTTTCACAGTCATTGCATAGTATCATCTGCAGCTCTTACAAGGTGGGGTTAGTTCGGGAAAGTCGTGGTCTCATGCAATATTCAACAATCTTTGTATATGATAATTAATGACACATTGAATAAAGAGCAGATTCATAATTTACCAAAACCAGAGACAGAAAGAAAGAAAAAAGAAGAAAGTCACAAACCTGAGTTTGACCCAGATGCTCGTCGGGGACTTTCTCTTCAGCCAATAACGCATCTAACATCCTAAAATATACCTACACATACGTTCTAATGGTTTTAGGTAGCTCATTGCTTGAGATAGGAAGAAGAAAAAAATTGGTACAAGGAATAAGGAAAGTAACAAGAGGTTCACCAATCCTACAGCTGCTTCAGTATCCATGTGGAAGTGCATGTTTCCTTAGACTTTTCTTTTGTTCATAATTAAATAGAATTTTTTAGTTGAATCTAAACACACCCTAAGTAAAAGAAATGTTTGATTTAAATCCACAAAAAAAAAAGTGTCAGTATTAATTTTTTTTTTTCCCATCTTCCATCTCCCCTTCTCGATCCCATCGACGATACCCTTCAAGACTCGCACAAATTTAACCAAAGTTAGGAAGGACCTGGGAAGCACGTAAAGCATCTTCTGACCCCTCTACTAATAAATTGATCAACAGTATGATGTGTAAAGTTACCTATGAGCATTGACCCTTCAGTTTCTAACTAAGTTCCTCAAATTTTTTATCTTCATAATTGCATTGATGGTGAATCTACATGCAGTAATTCGAATGCCAAAAATAATCAGATTTTTCTGAATCTTCCATATCCTATCATTCCAGAAATAATTGTTATCGCCAAAGGACAAGAGTGAGTACCCATTCAATGCATGAGTAGAGCATACTTCTACGCCATGTGTTCGCCCGACAAATGAAGTATGAAACATAAGAAGACACAAGATGCAGGACAAGTATCAAGTACCAATAACACTGAATAACTAACTGACCTGCATGTCTCCAAGTGACTTGCAACATATTGGGCAGGTATAATTGAAGTAGGTATACTCCTGAAAGCAAAATCAAGAAAAGTGATCAAGTTGTTCGCATAAATGCTACTCAAAAAGAAGAAAGAATCACAAGAAATTACCTGAAAACATGTTGAGTGCATGACATGACCACATGGAAGGGCCTTTACTGGAGAGCAGGACGTAAAAATGTATTCATGACAAATTGGGCAGTTGTCCTCTAAAGATTTCTCTCTGCATATATGTACTGTAAGGGAGCGAGACATACAAGCATTGCAATTCATACAATGAAAGTAGTCTAAGCCCAAGCCCTTCCCAACTCGGCACAGGTTACAATAGGGACAGTGGTAAATTTCCCTGTTAAACACTTTCAGTGTAAGAGATTTGCAGTAATAATATATTATTTTAAATGGTAGAAAAGGAAAACTGCAGCAAAATTGAAAGCTTAGAATTAAGATATCCATGCAGATGTCCATGCACTTGGTCACTTCCATTTACCATGAAAAGAGAAAGATAGTGAAGACAGGCCCTATTATCTCCTTTGCATTATCGATTTAATAAATAAATTAATTATCAGGATAAGGAAACAAGGTTATCTTACCGTAGGTTTATAAAAATATGCTGTCCATAGATATGAGGAACACTGAGATGTCAAATATATCAAGTTTCTAAGGGTTAGCTGCTAATTAACATTTTGGGTTCCCTATTCAACTATTGGCCTGAGTATGTTGGTATGAAATTGATGGTTAGCTACTCGGAAGAACCCTCCCCAAAAAGTTAACGATTGAAGTAGGAGGATCAATCCACTTAAGGACTTTACAGTTTGTACTATTAATATAGGGCAAAGTATCCCATATAATTTTAGTTTCCATCGGATACACCGCTATGCTAGTGCTTGTCAAGTCCTGTAACCGACATGAAGGTTTACAGACTCGAAGGTGTGAACCATCAACGTATTTGAAAGCTCTTAAAGGCTTAAACCACCATAGCCTTGTGATGCAAAGATCTGAAAAAAGTAAATTTCTTTCTCTCACAGGCACCAACACGTATATGCTGATTGATTTTTTTTTTTTTATATACACGTATATGCTGATTGATAACAAATAATTTAAAGTGATAATCTTGTTTTTTCAATTTTAAAGCTAATGAGAGATAGTTAATTAAAGAAGTGTGCGTGAGTTGCTTTCTTCCTAAAATTTTGTTATTCTTTTACATACACAGTTCAAGTTCATAACTTACCTGGTATGGTAGAAGCACAAAGCTTACAGTTCATCACACAGGAGGGTTGGGGATTAACAGTAACAAAATCCACACTATTTAGTTCTCTATAAAGATGGAGTAGATCAATCCAGTTACATTACCTTTCATCATCAAACAATCTACAGATCTTGCAGTAGTACTTTGCCATGGGTAAGTTACCGCAAGATACAGTTGAACAAGCGGCACCGATTGGTTGAATCTTCAAGCACTTCATGCACATCATCTTTGTAATGGATTTCCTTCATATATATGGAAAATTGACGCAAACATGAAGAATTAAAAAAATGGTTTTATTGATTCAAGAACTAAAGAAAGAATAAGCACATACTATTCATACCTATCGGTTAAATGATCTGATGCATCATTATGGCAATGTATGCATGTATAAAGTTGGTTGCAGCAGGAAGGTAAAAGCTTACAGCTTCTCTTGTAGTGTTTGCAGCCATAGACCAATTTTAGTGGGTCCCTATAAGACGGATTCTGCCCAGGAACCTCCTGCCCATTGTTTGTGACAGTGCCTTCTGAACAAGAGATATGCTGTCTAACAATCCAACGGCTGAAATTATGTGGAAACTAGCGTTAAATTTCACGAGAGGATATCCAGGATAAGCATGGAATAAATTAGAGAAATTTGACATTTACTTCTCCTAATCGTATTCTAAAGAGTTCTTGGTGACTGGATGTACAGTTCTTTAAGCAGGGATATATTTTCTTTATCTGCTAAAAAAAGTATGCAAACTTCTAGTAAATATGTATATTACTCAATCCCAAAGGTATCCCTTACCGGAGGGAAAAACCCCCAGGTATCGGGGTGCAACTCATGCTCATTTAATCTTATTGCCTGACATAGTTCACTTTACTGACTTCCAAAACATTTACAAGATCAAGTAATCGATCCTTGTTGTAACATCTAGTGGGACTAAGGTGAAATGAATAGCAAGGAAAATCAAACAAGATCCTGTGACCTTGCCATTAAGATGACCTTAAAAAAATTATGACAATTGTACCTTTTTTTTTTTTTTTTTTGCTTCTAGCAAGGTTCTAAAACTGTTCTTCCAAAATTGAAGAGGTGAATAACAAAAATGTCGGGTGTTACCAACCTCAGCAGCAGATTCTGGATTATATATGACTTCTTTTGCAGATCTAAGGAAGAGTCACGAGATACCCTTCTTATGGCCCTCTCCAGATCATCTGGACTTATTTTCATAAGATGGTCATAGTCCCCAGAGTTTTCACAGAATTGAAAAGACTGACCTTTATCATCCATCCAACTTGTGATATCTGTTACTTGAGTGCATGTTTGTTTGTTGTTATCACTCAATTGATTTCTGCATTCTGAACATTCACTACTAATCTTCTTAGCTTTACGAACCTGGGATTTGCCATGACGATTGCAATAGTGAGACTGCTCATTATTATCACCAATATGATCCGTCTGTGAGGAAAATTTGCTTTTGTTGGAAGCGGATTCTCCTTGGAGCTCATTGAGAACTTCTTTAGATAAATATTTAGATATGATCTCCAACGGCTCAACAGTCCGCAGAGGAGGATCATTTGATCTCTGTACCTCCTTTGCTATCCTGTACCCATCCCACCACTCAGCTAGCCATTCATCAAACATTGTATTTTTGGCAATCGTGGACCATAAGAACATTAAAACATGCTGTTCCTCTGGTGTTAAAGATGCCATTAACCAGGGTATCATATCTTGTAATATTTCTGCTCTAATTCTTCCAAGAATGCACCCTATGATTTTTATTTGCCCCTTATTGGAGAAGAATTCTCTAATTAAATGCCAAATTTCAATTTCTTCACGATTCATATGGTCAGAAAGTAGTTTATGCATTGATTTGCACATTTCCTGCAGCTTTCTGCACTGTTGATGATGCGTTAGCATTCTTTGCTCCCATGTATTTGTTTCAGAACTAGAAACGGAAAAATGTAGATCGAACATCTTATCAAGGATACAGGATATTTTGTCGAAGTGTTCGACTTCAAATTTGTGATCAATCGTGTAAGAGAGGCTAATGTTTTTCACTTTACTCATTGCCTCTAAGGCTGGGAATGCTATCTCATCCTCTGTCTCACTATGGATTCGATGAAGAAAGCATATTAGATGGAATCTTTTGCTGAAATTCACAAGCATTTCAACATTGTTTTCTATCTGAGCTGATCCACGAACAAGGTAATCCAAATCATTCTTGATAGCCTTGTGAAAGAAAAATATAAGGTCAATGGGTTTTGTATCATCAAGAAAGGGAACAGAAGGACTATCAGCTGCCTGAAATCTAGGACGGTGATTTAACTTCATAGCTGTGGCAGGGAATAATATATGCGTATTAAGTCCCATAGAGTATGGTGTCTCATATCTAGTCCCATTGTTGAATCCAGAAGATGATGAACTAGACAAACCATTTTTACCAATAGATCCTTTACGAGGCTTGTCATAATTTAAGAACGAAAACCCGGCAGCTTCCTTAACTTGCTCAGTTAACAGAGAGTTTTTGCTTTTGAAAATATGTCGCAAGTCTTGTCGGAATTTTTCAATAGAAGTTTTACCTGAATTACCAACACGGAACCACTCATGTACCAGTGATGCAAAAGCTTCATGGACAAAAGGATTTCCTTGTTTTATGGCACTGAGAATGGACCTAGATTCATTTTCAGACAAGTGACCTGAGAACCAAGTTATCACGCACTTCAGCAACCCAAGTGGCATCATGTGCAGGCTCAAGCTAATGAGTTCCTCTAGCATTTCGTTGTTGAGATTCAAGCGAATGATAGGAAAGACCTGATTAAAAAGAGGGCATCAAATGTTGATGATATGGCAACCACCTGGAATGTTACTTCACTAACAGTTTGACACTTTTAAAGTGTAATTCGTTTTACATGTGAAGCCAACAATTGCTCACAAAAGCACGAGTGACCAAAGAATTTATTTGCAAAGAAAGAAAAGCCTGAGAATATATTTGAAACGAATCATTATAATGTCATTTGGTTAGTTGGTTCCTGTATATCTACACAATACAGGCATTTTCTCTCCTCTCACTTTTTTTCAACTTTTCCTTTAATCTCTCTCATTTTCTGGGTCCTTCCTTTTTGGTGCAAGTTCAACAAAGAACTATCTGATTTAAGGGACACTTTCACGAATACAGGTGACTGCACATGTAGACAGAAAAGACACAGAGATCTCAAAGCAGCATTTTCATCGTGATCATACTTTTAAAACTAGAAAAATGTTCCAAAAGCGGTTAATCAACCAAAAAGAAGCACATTATGCGGAGGTATGTTTTAATTATTATATTTGAGGATAAACTGAAAGAAGTTTCCCGTTCCTGCATTGCTTGGTAACAAAAATTGTGATACAAGCAGTATACCTGAGTTTCTTGAAAAGCAAATTGTTTGCTGACTCGTGTCATAAATAGTTCAAGCTCTCTGCAAAGCTTCTCCACGAATTCAGACAAAGGCATGCCGCTTTCAGCATTATACAATAACAACTGCTGTAAATCTTCAATATGACTTTCACCAAGAAATTGTTCGCTAGACTTGGTCAACCAACCATAAGCAAGTTCACTCAAAACTGAGTAAAAGAATTTCTTCTGAGCATTGCTGAAATCCGGAGGTTATATATGAAAATTAAGCAATTAAAAAGGAAAAAAGCTGTAGTTTAAACAAAAGAGAAGGAGGAGACTTCAGCATCTCAAGAAAAAATGTGGAAGAAAAGACAAGAATATTACCTGTAGAAGGTGAGAACGTCGGCGAAGAATTTTAATTGGATGAGTAACGAATCCAAATTATGAAGATAAGCGTTGTTTCTGATTTGATGAAGTTCTTCTAACATGTCTTTCATATCTTTCTTGATGGCATTATGCCAAATATGAAGAACATTAACTTGATTGGCCCTATCTTCTACGTCTGAGCAATTTGCTTTCATCTGATTTGAAATGGCTTTAAAATTCGTATTGCAATAACTCAACCCGCGTGGTCTTTTCATATCCAGGAATCCATCAGCACATTGAATAACTCCATTCAGATAACAGTCCTCGGTGAAGATTTGGGTGTTGCTACCAAGCCAAGCAATGAAAACCTTCACAATAATATCAGAATCAGAATTAGTTAAAAATCAGAAACTTTTATCAGACGTCAAGAATTGATCTGTTGTCTACCTCTTGCAGTTCTTTCTCCATTGGCGTAATTTCATTTAAAAACTTCCGAACTTCTGCTTGTTTGTCTGCAGAAAGGAATGATACCATCCATGGCAAAACTTCCTGCAGTAACACTACAGGAACACTGCACATGAATTGCCAGACCAGCAAAGCCTGTTCCTCGATAGAAACTTTCTGTATCAAGAGAGGAAAAACCTGCAGAATTGCACAAATTCAGAAAAGACGTATGACAGTCAGAACTCAAGAATATGCAAGTATATGCTATTGAGCAGACAAGCATACGTTAAATGATGAGGCATCGAGATCGAAGGCATTGCTCAAGAGATGTCATTTCTTAGTATTGCTAGTCTAGTCTACTAGTATTAACCTATTTAAGTTTCTACGTTCTGCAATCAGCATCATGCTCACAGACTTTTTTTTTATAGTCGACTAAGCAATTATGAAAGAGTGAGTATAAGAGAAAGGTAAAGTAAGCCAAATAATTCAATAGTTCATAAAGTAATAAGACAAATAATCATGTCCATAATTCATTACTTTTATCTCCTTTTTGTTCAGACTTTTTCCTATCCATAAATAATGTCTGTCTTGACATCATTTCTTGTTCTAATTAATCAGTAGAATATGTTGTCGTATGCGCTAACTAACTTTTAAGAACCTGGAACAAAACTAAAAGGTACCCTATGCATATCTCATGCCCACAATTAAAGAAACATTTTCTTCTCCTTTATAATATGGCTACTAAAGAAAAAGCATTATATGCATCATTGCCTTAATATGGAATTAATTTAACATCATCTACACTGCAAGGTGGAAACAACCAACTGCTAAGTAAGAAATACGAAGCAGTCAAATGAAAACTTCATATCCGTACATAAATTAAGAAAACCATATAAAAATAAAAAGATTTTCAAACATCACAGCAGTAAAAAACAGCTATACCTGCTCTTCTTCCTTCTGCATATGCTGGAATGTGGTGGCTTGCAAGATTCCAATGCAGCATATAAGTTCTTGAAACAGGTTGGAAATATTCTCATTTGGATCCATCAAATCATCTAAATAGTGAAAGATTGAGTTGAAGGCTTCATCGATGTTGTTATGTTCAAGGGAATAAGTACTTACTACATTTTTTACATGTACATCCAATGCAGGGAAGATAACCTGCCCAAGAAAAAGAAGTTCAAGTAAGAAATACTCGCAGAGCAGGTATGCAGATCCAAAGTGTCTTGAGAAAAAACTTAGCAAGTGAAGCAAACAAGAACTATATAGCAAGAGGGAGCTGCTAGGTCTTACTATTAAATTTATTATAACAACTCACATGACAACCTCAAGATATCAAAGAATAGAAGGCTAAGGCGCTTAATCTTAACCTCAATCCAACTTATTCTTCTAAGTCAGAATTCTTTTCAAAGCCTTTTTTTTTTTTTGTACCCCTCTCTACAAGGCTCTCTTTCACTCCCCCACCAGAAAAGATAAAATCCCTCCCAACCTCCAGAAAGTTTCTCATGCAGCACCCCCACGATGATGCATTGGAATGCACTGGCGTCTATTGATTTGTCGTGGAAATCCCTCACCTATTTTCTTCGAACCTGTTGCTTCTTCGTTCTTTGAAGCCCATGATTGTGCAAGATCCCCTTTCTCTAGTCTAACCATGCAATTCTCTCGTCTGAGCCTATTTTGCTCCTTAATGCCTCGTAGCGTTTCCTCCTCGCGGCCAAATCTTCCTTAGAGCAACGCTTCAAGTTCCATGCATAACCAACGACTAATATCTTCCAAACAAACTTTTTTTCCTCCTTCTTCGAAGCTCGGGCACATGAGACCTCATCTCTTCCACGAGTTGTTCTTCCTTCTTGGAGCCCGACCATCGCTTTGCCAACCTAGCTAGTGTTATGATCAATGATGGAGGAAAAAAACGTGAACGCTGGAAAAGTTGCTGACATAGCCAATGAGATGCTCCCAGAGAGAATAGCGGTGAGTTGAAGAGAAATTGAGCAAGAAGGATATGGAGGATAGTACTGCAAAACAAGAAGGACAGATGGATGCAGAACAGAGTAGGGCAGGGTAACGGTTTGGTTAGCAGAACATTCGGACCGGAGGAGTAGTTACTTAGGATATTCTGATTGGACATCGGAGAATCATTGGACACTTTCTCTTAAATGCTGGTAAATGGGGAGTTGTGATAATGACATCTTAAAGAGTCATGGTTAAGTCAGACGGCTCAGACAAAAGGTAAGGTAGTTTTGGGGAAGAACGACCAAGAGTCAAAACAAACTGCATGGAGCTATAATTCTTTCTCCAGTGCGTTTCAGGTCAAAATAACAGGACCTAGAATTTATTGCATCTAAGGTCAGATTAGCAGGATCTAGATCTATCGCATTTTTTTAGGAGGAAATCACGCGTCTTTTATTTCATTATTAATTACTGTAATATGCTATACATATTTTTTCGATATTTTAATTAAGAAGTTATAGACATAAAAATATATTATAAATAAGTTCAGACACTGAAACTAGTAAAAGATCAGTGTTTTCTACCTCTTATGTTCAGTCCTGTTGTTCGCAAAGGAACAAATACTTTGCAAGCTACTGCTGAGATCTTATTCCATGAAAAAAAAAAAAAGGGACAGAAGATCGTGAGAAAGCCAGGTTCGTTTTTTTAAAAGGAAAAAAATTATTTGTCGCGATTGGATCTACCACATGGAACTATAAGTAATCCAAGTTTTTTTTTTTAATTTCAACCGATGACAGTTCAGATTGCCACGTCGTCTGACTTTAAATCGATCCTGAGCGACTCGTCCGAATTGAGAATATTCTAGCCATTTACTCGACATATCTGAGTTGGGTCTCCGGAGATAATAATATAACCGGGGCTGTAAGGTGCAAGTTGGGTCTCCGGAGATCTACAATATGAGAAGATTGTGCCTAAGATCTAGACCGGCCGGGCATGGATGGACATGTGAAAGATGGAGAGAAAATATACTAAAGAGGACCAAAAAAAAGAAAGGAATATAATTTAATAATGGACGGATGTGAAATACAGCACAAATTGAAGGAATTTTGTTAAGCAGTAATAGTTTTGGTTTGCGATTTGCATGCGTTTGTATATTTTCAGGGAAGTGGATGTTAGATGAAGATTAATTGAGCAGGGATATATAAACCAAAGAGTCATAAAGAGCAAGGACTTGACTATATATGCAGAGCATAAAAATTGAAAAGAAAAGAAATAAAGAAGAGGATGAGAATGAAAAGCAAGAAAGAATTCTCTCTAATACACTTCCCATCCACTTCGTTTTCATCAAAAATATGGACAATCAATCTGCAACAAAATGATTTATATTTGATTATTATTTTCGCATTTAATTAGTGCCTTTATAAAAAAAATTAAATCCGAACCATTCAACGTTGATCTAACAATTCAGATCTGCGGTAAAAAAAAAAAAAAAAAGATCTCAATAGAGATGAAAAAAGGTATGACTGCAAAAGCCATTGTCAAAGAAAAAAGAGGGAGAGGGGTAGACGATGGAGACCGCAGACCGATTAGACTAACTGAGACTGCCCTTGACAACTAAAAGAATATTTTTCCCCACTTCCAATAGCAGCCAAGAGCTTAAAGTAATAATCGTGCGGTCAGGATTTTTTTGGAGGTTTAGATGACGTCTCTGTTTTTTGGTCTTATGAGATGCTTGCTTGTCTTACAATCTGCTCTATCCTAAAGATATTTGCTACTATATATCCAGGTTAAGTTATCCCATAAGTTGCATCCCTAAATATTTTGCAAATTCAATCCTTCAAAAACCTACTTAAAAGGACAGAAACGAAGCTCAAATAGTCATGGATAACATTTAAGCTTTCAGATATCCAGTGGCAGGGTGTCCTGTTTGGCCTTCATGGATTAGGCCGGTCATTGCATCACAAAAATCCAAAAGCATTTCTTGTTCCGTATCTTATTTGGCGAGAAGCATGCATCCAAATGACTAAATTCCACACTCTAGTTTCAACTATGGAATTAATATATGGCCAAGCAAGATGGGAGGTTAACTATGTAACACATACTCCACGCGGAGATTTCAGTGATATGTAATGCTTGAAATATTTAGCCAGAAAGTCCTAGAAGTTCAAACCCCGCGCAAAATACAATGATATATAATGTCATGCGTGTCGATAACGCATGTTCTATGATGTGGAATTATATTGCTCTCTTGCGTGGTCCATGGACAATTCCGGATCAATTACAACATTTGGTGATCTTGCCGGAATATTGCTGCGACCAAAATCTTCCACATGCTCCGATTACTAACTTTGTACTAGCTTAACAATAAGGATTACTAAACCAGATTATTTTGAAATATTTAATTCCATCTATCAATCGGATGCTATATATGTGCAAGTATTCAAACTGCATTGTCAGAGAAAGTCTCAGAAACACTGATAGCATTCCTTTTTTTCCCACTTTATTATTCCTAGTTTTCCCAGACCACCAGAATTCAAGGTATAAGCTGGACTCACCTCGTCTTCCGCGACGCAATGATACTTAAGAACTAGTTTGAGAAACTCGAATCTCCGTTGAAGTTTAACAATAAGCTCCGGGTTGTGTGATGCATTCTCCAGCGATGACGTTTCCGCCAAGCTCCGAAGCTCGTTGAGTTCTCCGCGAAGAGCTTTGTGGAAGCAAACAAATAAGAGTACAGGAGCATCGACGAGTCGAACTCGGGAGACGCAATAATCCGACGAGTCATGTTCAATGTTCTCCTCCTTATCCGGCGCAAGAAGGTCCATCGACCATCAAAGTTAGGGCAGACACCACCATGAACGGCGACAGAGGGAGGAGAGGGAGGTGATGAGAAGCATGAGAAGTGGCGAGAGAGATTTTTATGGCTCTGCTTCTCATGCTTTTGGTCCCTCCCGTGCTCTGTAGCCTTTTGGCGTCTTGGAAGGCTCTCGCAATTTTTTAAACAGAAAATCACCATCAGCCAACATATAAAAAAAAACGGATATAATCTCTGCCAGTTGACGCGAAATACAGAAAGGGACGTTGTAACTAACCCCGCCAACGTTATTTGCGTTTGCTTTTTGGCGCTACCCAGCGGCATGAATAGCGCCTTCAGGGGGGTGTCTCAATATTCGAAGTCTTAGGAGTAAGTCATAAAATCCATTTAGATCCTATCATTAATATTTCACGTGATACATAATTTGAATCTCTCTTTTTTTAATTAACACATTTAATTGTTAATGCAGTCGTTAAACCGAGGTCCACTAATGTCTTCATTATCAAGACATTCCGTACAACTTGCAAGCTCCTGGAGAAGAGAAGGGTGAAGTGAAGTGACGCGCTAGGGATTGAGTTGAATCGTTCCCGCATGCAAAATGGGAGTGAATAAAAAAAAAAAATCTCACAGAAAAATGTTAAATAAAAAAATTCAGGGAAAAAAAATAAAGTCCGCTCTGACGGGTCCTTTGATGTCCCGCGCTGCACATGATTTAAAAATTGGGCTTTTTTTTGTTGGGCCTGAGATTTAAAAAAAAGGGGGGGGGGTTTGACGTGAGAGCATATCTTGACGTATGCATTGGTTTGACTAGAACTAACAAAGTTGGGTTTACTAAAAAACACCAGTCTTTCATAACGTGATGAACTAAAGTTTGAATTCCTATTAAAAAAGGTGCTCACATTTAATCCTCAGCAGTGCTTTGAATAGGATTCCCTCTAATGGGAATATACCTATGATTTAACCCAAAAAAAATAGTTTGACTAGAATAGTATTATTACTGCTAGTCCTAATTATAAGATTTTATTTATAAACTACAAACAAGATTTTATAATTAAGACTAGGGCTAGTACTACTTTCAGTAGTTAATATAAGAGTGAATTAACTAATTTTAATAGATTAAAAAAGTTTGTTAAGTTAGTTATTTATAACAGATATGCGCTGTTTTTCCTAGAGTATCCTTACTAAAAATGTGTATTAGTTAAAACTACTATTTGAAAAAATCTTTAACATATACAATTATTATGATAATTATTTTAAAAAATAGATAAATATAAAAAATAAGTTGAATTGGAGTCTTAGAATTAAATAAAAAATTAAACTATTTTTTTATATTACAAACCAGAGGTAGGAATATAGTTGCCTAATGGTAGGGCTGTAGGGGTAGAGGGTTATTGAGTTAGACGGGAAAATGGACTCTTGCTCTGTTTCCTTCTGGGTAAACTGCGTGATCTGCTGGTAAAAAAAAAAAAAAAACTGCGTGATCCTGCTCTTATTGGCTCAATGGATGCCTGCTTGACATTTGTCTTCAGTTCACGGCAATCAAAATAACCCGTGCGTAATTTCAGCATAAGAGGGTAGGTTTCAGCCAAGCTTTGAATTCTTACTAATTCTTATTAAAAGATATGCTTACATCTAGTCTCTGGCAATATCTTAAATAAGATTATCTTTAATAGGAAGTCACTTATGCGTTAAAAAAAACAATATATTACCCCATGTTCTTAATATAAGAGCTAGTTTAACTTTTTATTTGATCCTAAGTATAAGATTTCAATCTATTTTTTAAAAAATAGTTGTTATAATAGTTGCATATGTTAAGTGTTTCATCAAATGGTAGTTTTTGCTAATACACATGATTAACAAAAATATTAGAAAAGACAGTACCTATTTATTATAAATAATTAATTTAATTAATTTTTTAATATCATCAAATTAGTCAACTAGGTATTCTATTAAAGACCGAGGGTAGAATGTTATTATAAATAAATAAATTCTAATATAATATTATTACAGCACTATATGATTTCAGCTTATATTTTTATGAATGCAAGCATGCAGGTATTTTTCTATGTTTTTATTAAATACAACTATCTTATTAAAAACCTAATTGAGCTATGTTAGCTGGTAAATGTGAGCATATGTCCGTACAAATATTTAAACTTTGATTTATCACTCCTTCCATTAGATAACTCTTATTAATACTACATCCGTTTCTTATTATAAGAGCTTGTTTGACTTTTAATTTGATCTTAAACATGAGATCCCAATCCACTTTGTCTTTCATATTTATGGATTTTTTTCAAAATAGTCTTTAAAGTGGTTGCACATATGAAAGGTTTCATGAAATGCTAACTCTAAGTAATATACTCCTTCGGTCCTTAATATAAGACCCATTTAACTAATCTGATTAGATTAAGGAAGTTAGGTAAGTTAGTTAATTATAAAAAAAGTGACACATTTTTCCTAAAACACCATAATCATCTTTCTTAATACCACATCTCCCTCTTCTACTTGATTATAGTTGAGAGAGTATCAGAGTATCCATAGGGGTAATTTAGAGAAAATTGATAAATATGAGAAATGAGTCTTATATTTAGAACCAAAACCAACTCAAGAATTGGGTCCTATATTAAGACCGGAGGAGTACATGATTAACAAGGGTGTTTTAAGAAAGACAACGTCTATTTATAACAAAAAACTAACTTAACTAATTTTTTTAATCTCTCTAAATTAGTCAACTAGATCTTATAATAAGGATCAGAGGTAATACTTGATAAGTATTTTTCTATTGAAAATAATTTTATTTAAGATATTATTGAATTCTAGATGTTTATTGGTATATTCAAATTTTGATCCGTTACAGGGTGGGACACTAACCCGTTCGGTCCAAAACCAATTACCCTTTGGTCAGCTGATTTTTTTATTGGCATACTTTTTTCCCAAAAGAAAAGGTATGCTGACGTCCATGGCCACTATTACGTGGGGAGCAATTCGGATTTTGTTTTAATGGAATAATTAATTCGTGTGCCTTTCACAAGCCTGAGCTCGTGTCCGTCGACAGCATACACGCGCTTGATTGTGTCGCCACGTTCCTTGCTCGCGTTTTCTAGTCTGCGCAGTGCGCATGATTGTTTTCTTTATTTTTCATAGTTAACGTATTGTTTGAATTTGTCATCCAATTATTAATTATCGGGTCGTTTAAGTAATTATTAATATTATATTCAGTCTTTAATATAAGAGTTTATTTAATTTTTATTTTAGTTTTAAATACAAAATTCCAATTCACTAATATATTTTTTTAAGATAGTTTTTGTAATAATAGTAGTTATAACCAATACAATTTAACAAGGATATTTTATGAAAGACAATACATGTTTACTATAAATAACTAAAATAATTAATTTTTTCAATCCAGTTAAATTAGTAAACTAACTCTTATATTAAAAATAAAAAGTAATATTTAATTAACCGAGTCTAGAAACCTTGTACAGATAGTACAAAAGCTTTAGGATTAACTCAATGGCCCATACTTGGAGGTTGGACGTGATGTATTAAATCGCAGGACGTTCATAGACGACGAAGCTGATTTGCTTCGAGCTAATGCACCCACTTTGTAACATTGTCTGATTAATATTTAAGGTTTTTCATCAATTTGTCTTCCATCAACTAAACTCTAAGCGCACATGTCATGTTAATATTTTGCTTACCTGTGCCATGCATGGCCCAAAAAAAAAATCATATCAATGGTTAAATTAAAAAAATGTTTTTTTTATTTCTTGTTGAAGACGATGAAAATGGTGATGGGGAGTTAAGAATTGATCCTACGTTCAAAGCAAACTGAGATTCAATCATCTTACTATTGGCAAATGATACTCATCCAGTTTTAAATGTAACAATTATTTTATAGTAATATAGTCTGTATTATAAAATGAATCTTACGTCTAGGATCAGAAGAGTATATTCATATCACATGATTGTTATTGTATTAATGAATTTCTAATCATGGTTGGTGAATATATCATACGTTATGTTTAATGAATGCGGCGTGGATTTTGGGTAATTAATTCATAATGGAAAAAAAAAAGGTGGTGTGACGAAGAATTAGGTTAAAATTGCAGGTTAAAACTTTTATTCAAATAAACTTGCATGTGAACCAACCCAACACAAAACATACACATAGATATGGGACCCTATCTGTACTGGGCTTGACATTACAACAAGACTAATCTCAAAATAAAAATGAATATTTTCATTACTAATTATCATTGTAAAAAAAAACCGGACCGGACCGGCCGGTTCAACCAGTGAACCGGTCAGTGGTTTGGTTTGGTTTATAGGCTAAACCGGAGACCGGTTCAAACCGGTACTAAACCGGTTTAAATAAATATATTGATATTTATGTCATTTTTTCTCATTTAGCTCATAATATCTCAATTATTATAGATTTAAATGAATTTTGATGATAAGTTTGGTATCAATAACTATTAATTTTAGTTATTAAAAAATTATAAAGATCAAAATTCTTAATATTGTTGTACTTTATTATTATTACAATCAAATTCTTATTGTATTTCTTTATATTTTGTTATTAGTAATTATCAGTATTGTTATATTTTGTCATTTTTAATTAAATTATATTATTTTAATATGACCGGTTTGATCCCGAGTTGACCCCGATCTGACCCATTAACCCTTGAATCAGTATCTCAACCGGTTTAGTGTCCGGTCCGATTTTTTGTTCCTTGCTAATTATTGCTGATCCACATAATTACTAAATTTAACAAATTTAGTTCCAGAAAAATATGTTATATTTTTGCTATGAATACTAATTTTAGATGGTATAGATTATATAATATGTGAGTTTAAAGTGTGTTATTTTAGTTATATGGATTAAATTTAAGTTTCAGAAATTATTGAAATTTGAGAAAGAGAAAAAAGTAGGGTGATTTGGTGGGTTGATCCATTCAACCCACCCACCCCGTGTGACCCGGGTCTAAATCATATAACATTAGTCGGCCCGACTCTCGTTGTTTTGCAAGTCAGCCCCAATGAAACGGCCCGTATAGGTCAAGCTAGCCCATATTTCTAATATTAAAAATGGCAGTTTTTATGAACTCATCATACTCTTCTTGCAATTATCATGACCCAGCCTGAAAACTCCAAACTTTGCTATGACGCATCTTCAGCTCAGCTCGAGCACCAGCAACAAGCACAAAATTTTTACCCCAGAAGAAAAGCAATATTTACGAAATTAAAATCCAAATCACAGTTTTTAAACAACATTTACAATTACGCTTTTTTTTTTTTTTTCATTCGGCTGTGTACTTTAACTCCGCGTTTGGATGGAGAAAATTAAGGATAGAATGCTAGAAGGAAAAATTGTTAAAAATAATAATTTTTTTAATTATTTTTGAAAAAATTTTCCTCTTAGTACTCTCTTTTCTGTTTTGTTCACACTTTTTCCTCCATTCAAAATCTAATAAATGACATCGGAGATAAAAGTACTATTTCATACTAAGTATTAAAAATAAAATATTAGAATTAGAATTAAGATTGAAAAAACAGTAGTTGACATGAGAGATTACTTTTTTATTATGGTATTTTCCAATCTTATGTAACAAATAATTACTTATATTAAAAAAATTTAATAATTTTTTTAATTGAAATCCTAGTTCCTATTTCTTATTTTCAATACTTTATATCAAATGGGACCAAAACGTAATGCAAATAGAATTTTGGATCTCATAGACTTTTTAGATGGTTTGGCTTTTCATGTTTTATTTTGCCTACAGCCTGGATTCGTTCTCCCATTCATAGTTGGCTCTGAAGATGAAAGTGAAATTATTACCTCATATCTTAATTATAAGATATTATTTATAGTACTCCTCCGGTCCTAATTATAAGACCCAATTGACTTATTTGAGGAGATTAAGGAAGTAAGTTAAATTGGTTATTTATAATAAATAAGTGTTGTCATTCCTAAAATATCCTTGCTAATTAAGTATATTGGCTAAAACTATTATTATTAGAAGGATTATCTTGGGAAAAAATGCATAAATATAAGAAACAAAATGGATTGGGTCTTATAATTAGGACCAAATAAAAAGTCAAATTGGATCTTATAATAAGGATCGGAGGAGTATAACTTATTTTTTTGGTCCGGGAAAATAGGACACGCTTCATGCCTTAAAAAAAAAAAAAGCCGGATGCATGTGTCCAACCAGGAACGAATCATGGTCCAGGCGAGCTCACCAGACGGAGGAGCAAAACACAGGAGAGACAGAGGCGCAAGAAACCAAAAACGGCAGGGTAAACCCATTAAAAATGGAGAATTTCGACTTCAGCTCCAAATGGATGTCAACGGTGGCCAGCATATGGATTCAGTGCACCAGTGGCTCCTTGTATACTTTTTCCATCTACTCCGACGCCCTCAAGTCCAGTCAGCACTATGATCAGTCTACCCTAGACACCGTGTCCGTCTTCAAGGACATCGGTGTCAACGCCGGCGTTCTCTCCGGTCTTCTATATGATTTTGCTGCCCACCGAACAAAGGCTGGGCCTTGGGTGGTTCACATGATTGGCGCGGCCCAATGTTTTTTGGGATATTTCCTTATCTGGGCCGCCGTCGCCGGCGTCATCCCTCCAACGCCCGTCCCGGTTATGTGTGTGTTCATTCTCGTAGCTGCTCATGCTCAGAGCTTTTTCAATACCTCCAATGTTGTCACCGGCGTGCGTAATTTCCCACACTATGGCGGAACCATCGTGGGCATTATGAAGGTAAAACCAAGTTTTTAACTCTTTTTTCGCTCTGCCTGTTGCTTTACGACGTTTTCTTTTTGTTTTTGTTCAGGATAAGCCGCTTCTTCTTCTTATCCTGTTACTGATAGATCAAAGGCTTCTTTGTATGTAAATCAGTTTGTTGGGAGATCATAGAATGGGCAATGTAATTCTCTCTGTCATCGATCAATACGCTTTCATTAGCTCTGCTGTCTTGTCGAGACTTGATACTAAACTTCGTGTGCTAATATATTGACTATGCTCGACTTTATTTAGCATCCATTACCTGGTTGGTGTCTTGTGTAGTGTTGAGTTTGGTCTCAGGACTTCTCTTTTCCTTGGTAGGGATTTCTTGGTCTCAGTGGAGCTATACTAATCCAAGTGTATAGGACGATATTTAAGAACAAGCCTACATCATACCTCCTGATGCTGGCCTTCTTACCACCTGTAAATACTTTGCTGCTTATGTGGTTTGTCAGAATCCACAATACTCGTGAGGGAGATGAAAGGAAATATCTAAATATTCTGTCTATGATAGCTCTAGTTGTAGCTGCTTATCTTATGGCTATCATAATTCTAGAGAACATTTTCAGTCTGCAATTACCGGTCCGCATCTTTGTGTTCATTTTGTTGATAGCGTTGTTAGCCTTGCCTCTAGGGGTTGCACTAAAAGCACGGAAAAGAAACTTCAAAAATGCTTCTGACATTTTCCCTTCCGAGGCTTCCCCGTTAATTGCTGAACCAAGCCCCTTAGATAGGGAGAAGAGGGATGTGACACAAGATTCTGCCGAGGGTCATACGCCTAGTAATACAGATCAAGATATGATTACTAACAATCGAAGGGCATTGCAGCTGGGAGAAAACCAGAATCTGGCCCAAGCTCTGCAATCTGTGAATTTTTGGTTTCTGTTTGTTTCAATGGCATGTGGGATGGGATCGGGACTTGCAACAGTTAATAACATCGGTCAGATTGGAGGATCCCTTGGTTATACAAGCCATGAGACTGGCACCTTGGTTTCTTTGTGGAGCATTTGGAATTTTCTCGGCCGTTTTGGAGCTGGTTACGTTTCAGATTATTTCTTACACGCAAGAGGATGGGCACGGCCTTTATTCATGTTCATCACTCTAATGATCATGAGCATTGGCCATTTGGTGATAGCTTCTGGACTGCCTGCTGCTCTATATGTTGGTTCCGTATTGGTTGGAGTTTGCTATGGCTCTCAGTGGTCCCTAATGCCCACAATTACTTCTGAAATATTCGGTCTAGCACATATGGGAAGCATATTCAACACAATTACCATAGCAAGTCCTGTTGGATCTTATATATTCTCTGTAAGAGTAGTTGGGTATGTATATGACAAAGAAGCGTCAGAAGGATATACATGCTCTGGAACTCATTGTTTTATGTTATCTTTCCTTATAATGGCTTCTGCTGCTGTTTTGGGTTCTCTGGCTGCTCTAGGCTTGTTTTTTCGAACGAAAGGTTTCTATAATCAAGTTCTTCTCAGACGACTTCAATATCCTTCTGAGTGAAGAGATGAAGCAGTAATATAATGTGATAATTTGTCGAGGCTTTGCTATTCCAGTTCTTCTCTCTCTCTGTGAGTGGGAGTCTGTAAATCACTTGTGCTCGTTGATTCTCTTGTCGCTGTCAATGGAGGAGGGAATATGTTGGAAATAACTTTTCCTTAGTATTATAGTACTGTTATGGAGGTGAACTGGAAGAAACTGTTTGCCATGCCATGTGTCAAAGATGTACTAAACTGGGTAAAAAATCCGAAAAGAAAAGGGCTTGGGTTCGATGCTGCCTTCGGCAGGATGTTTTTTATCAGTGAATAAAAGTATATGTTTTTATCAATGTGTTTTTTTAAATGAAAAATTCAAAGTAAGCCAAGAGAAAGGGGAGTAAAACCCAGGGTAGAAAACGTAAAAGCCAAAAGAAACAATAAAAAGAATTGAGTGAAGATAGTAGTTAAAGTGTAATTTCTTTAGATAACAAAAGAAAGTAAATATATAAAATTAAAAACAAGTAGTCTACATCCAAGCTGCAGCAGCTTCTTCTCCTGTTGGAGGAGGCAGAGTACTGATGGCTTATCCATGGCTTTCTTTGAATATATGATAGTCCTTGGTGTGCTTGATGGTTGAAAAATGGAAGCTTGAAATTATTTCTGGAGACGCTTAAGAAGAAAAAGAAGCTTACCGTCTGGACGCACGTAGTACTAAATTTATGGCCTTATTTTCATTTCATTTAATTTTCTAAGTCTTCATTAATAAGTAATGACGCCTCGTGCAACGAGTTTATAGGAGTACTACTATTACTATTTATTAATGTTGGAGTTAGGCTTCTTTCCTGTACGCGAATTTGAGAGTTGAAACGTGTTTTCCAGTGCAGCGATCTCCATATGTTTTCCTGTGGCGTTGGCTTAGGTCTCCCGCCAAACAGACAGGCTCGCTTATCGTTCAAAAACCAATATGAGAACTTCACTCGTCTCAATGAATGGTGATCAATTCTCAGAGACTGGCATAAAGTAGCCATGACTTGATTTTGCTGCATTGGCTATATAAAATTCTTCTCAATGTCACACTTGTTTCTTAGGAGCTCTCTTCCATATGCTCTTTGATGAATTCTATGATATAAACGACGTTATTAATAATAGTTCCAAGAATTTCCATTAGGGCGACGTGGAGGTGGTGTGAACTGAATGGCATGTTGTGAGAAACTTGCTTTGGGCGACTCTTTCTTTCCTGCCATTATGTGGATTTATTGAAGCTCACCTCGTAACAGCTAGATCGCGGAAAGAAGCTAAGAAAGTTCAGTTTCTGCTTTCTCTTCAGCATTGGATGATAATTTCATCATGACTAGCAGTCTTCATATACTCTTTCTGTCTTTTTTCATTTCACTTATTCTCAAGTCGACTTCAGCTTTCCCCTTTGCCGCTAGACCACGTGAGTCCTTTTTGTTTTTTGTTTTTCTCTTCTATGTTTTTAAATCAACTGATAATGATGATTACCAGTTTGCGTTCTTCTTGATGGGTCAGGAATGCCTTCTAAATTCGAACCTTTCTTGCAAGACAGAGTTGGAAAAGGACCTGGCTTCTCTACCTCCAAACCTCCCATGGGTCTATGCTTAGAGAAAATAGGGGATGGAGCCTACCTTAATATGGTTCCACATCCTGATGGTTCCAACCGTGCTTTCTTGGCAAATTTGCAAGGCAAGTTATGGCTAGCTTCAATTCCTGATGAAGCGTCTAATGGGATTTTGGAATTCGATGAATCCAAACCCTTCCTAGATATTAGTGACCAAATTCTATTTGATTCTGGGCACGGTTTGATGGGAATTGCATTTCATCCAAACTTCACACAAAATGGCCGCTTCTTTCTCTCATATTGTTGTGATCAGACGAAAAATCCTAGTTGTTCAGGGAGATGTGCTTGTAACTCAGATGTGAATTGTGACCCTTCGAAACTTGACTCCCATGATGATGTCCTGCCATGTCAGTATCATGTTGTAGTTGCAGAGTTTACAGTCAACGGCACAGCATCAGAGCCTTCCCTGGTGTGCATTGATGCTAGTACCTATCTCATATTTTGTTTCTGAAGACTGTTACTGAGTGATTTTTGAGAAATGCGTGATACCGATATATATATATATATATATATATATATTTTAGGCTGAAAGTGCCAATCCATTGGAAGCGAGAAGGATATTCACCATGGGTGTTCCGTACAGAGGAGGACATGCTGGTCAGATTCTCTTTGGACCCGCAGATGGATACCTGTACCTCATGATGGCAGATGGCTCTGATCATGATGATCCTTACAACTTTTCCCAGAACAAGAGGTCATTACTGGGAAAGATTTTGAGAATTGATGTGGACAATTTACCCAGTAAGTTCTAGCTAATTCTGCATGAAAAAACGTTAGCGTGATAACCTTATATAAAGAACCGTTCTGTACTTCTGTAGTGTATTTTTTTACACATGGTTATGAGAATTTATTTTATTAACAAAGTAGGTCTGAACTCACTTCTTTGTAAGTGGAGCCTATAAGTTTTTGAATAACATAATAGGCCAAGCGTGTACAAGAATAATCTCTAACAGTAATGGAGAATGTTCTATGCCCTCAAGTAACCGGTACCTTTTATAGTCTTCACTAACATGCATGTCTGTTTGATTTTTATATAAACTTTGCAAGTGTCACTTCATCTCAACATTCTTCGCAGGTACTAGAGAAATAGAAGAACAAGGTTTATGGGGAAACTACAGTATTCCTAGAGATAATCCACATCTCGATGACAAGGAGCTTGAACCAGAGATATTTGCTTTGGGTTTGAGGAACCCTTGGCGTTGTAGTTTTGACGCCAAGAGGTCCTCGTACTTCCTTTGTGGAGACTCAGGACAAGTTCAGTGATCCAATTTCATAACTTTGTAGTAGAACAGTTCAGTAGGCATGCAAAGCTGTTTAACTTTGAACATCAAGTTGTTGCTTGCACTGTGATCTTCACTGTCTTATGATTCATTCTTTGTAGGATCAATATGAAGAGATCGATATGGTCAAAAGGGGCGGGAACTATGGATGGCGAGTCTATGAGGGACCTTTACTTTTCCAGCCATCACAGTCTCCTGGAGGAAACACCTCTGCCAGTTCCATACACCCCATCTTTCCCATATTGGGATATAGTCATTCAGACATCGATGCGATAGCTGGTTCTGCATCCATTGTAGGTGGCTATTTTTATCGCTCCATGACTGATCCTTGCATGTATGGAAGGTACACTTCAAGCCATCTATCAATTTGAATCTCTTTAGAAGCCACTATCTCACTGTTTAAACCTGTCAATGATCATTTCTGATGCACCCTTTCTTTGTAATTGTGTGGTTAAAGCTCAGACAGATAATAATTGTAGACCAAATGATTAACTCAAATGCTTAAGCTATTTTAGGGAATACGCGCTGCAAAATCAAAATTTGTGTTGGCGACATTTCAGGTACTTGTACACGGATCTGTATGCAGGATCTATATTGGTAGGTGAAGAGAGTCCTGAAAGAAGTGGAAACTTCACCGGTGCTAAAATTCCTTGTAGATGTGCTCCTGACTCTTCAATGCAATGCTCTTTTCTGAAGGGAAGTTCAACTCCTGTATTGGGGTACGTCTTCTCATTAGCAGAAGATAACAGGAAGGACATTTACCATCTCACAAGCACTGGGGTTTATAGAGTAACACGACCAAAACGTTGTAGATATTTGTGTAGCAAGGAAAAGGATGTTGTTTCAGAACATAACAAACCTCTCTCTTCTTCCTCATTTCCTGAAGTTGTTGATTTCCTTCTGTTGTCTGTCTTTCTTATCCTACATTCTATGTCTTGACTAAAGCCTATCAGGGGCCAATTTGATTTCCTTAAAAGATTCAGCTTTTGACCTGTGGACTTCTGCCTCTGAATTAGTCAATACAAGTTCAAGTGATAATTACAACTAAATTGAGGAATCTTTCATTTCTTTTTTTCTTTTTCCCCTAATGTATTTGGTAGAGCCTCCAATAACAAATCAGTCTGCTTGTGATATATAAGATTGAGATACGTGGGAAAATCAAAAGTGCAACTTTTACATGGTTTCATTGATCGAGATTGAGATTGAGATCATGTCATTAACTTATTTTAATAATTTCTAGATATATGAACTTGGACATTTAAACAACCCCAAAGAACTTGAATATGCAGAAACACTTTACTGTCATATCAAGTTACGTCACTATGCATCTGTGTCATCAGTGGGGCTTCCTGTCATGAAATCACAATTTCATCAACAGCCCAATATAAAAGGTGAAAGTGAAACTTCAGAAAGCAAAAATCTACAAACCACTGACTTCAGCTTACTCTTTAAGCTTAATGATCTTCTAAGGGTAGCATGACGCTGGGGAAGTAAATAGTAATTGTGGGAAATGAATAGCTATTTTAAGATGTTGAGGTATGAGGCAAAAAAAGAAAATCAGTGAATAAAACTAGAAAAATAAATAAATAAGCAAAGAAGATTTATATGAACTAATAAAACTTCTAAAATTTGGAAATTTATTTATCTTTTCATTTTAAACAGTAATAATAAGATTCAATTAATTTATTTGACGTTGGAATCTTCTTGGGCCTTAACGCTGAGAAAGCCAAGACCAAGATCAGTACAAAAAATATGAAGTACTGGCATCCATCCGCTGCCAGAGCCTTGGGCTGTAAGTGTTGAGAGTTTAGTGACAAGGGTAAAAGCAAAAAGTGGGTCCTATCTTTTTCTCATTTTTCTCGCTTTGAATTTGACCAAAAAATAAAATTAATTTGACGTTGACTCGAGAATTTAGCTTCTGGCACTAGATTTATTTCTTTGGATTAACTTATTGCGTGTTTAAATTTGGGATTTATTATCGTTAATTCTCTAGTAATTTTCAATATTATACAATCAATAAGACATTTTAAAAACTAAGCAAAACAAAACAAAATAAGATGGAGAGATGTGTATTACCTTTGGCCCTTTTCGCAAAAATTCTCTATAAAACAATAATAGAGAATTGCTAAAAATGAGAAAATAATAGATGGTGGGAAGGGTTGTTGTTGGTCAAAGTATCCCATACGTCCAAGGCTGCACAAAAAAATTATCGATATGAAGGGGGAAAAAACACAATCAAGAGGAAAAAAAAGTTTATCTTACGTGTATTAACCACTAGAAATAAAAGAACTTGATTTCTTTTGGGTTAACAATCACTATTGTGTGGATTACACCAATTAAAAATATTAATTTATAGTAATCTAATTAGACTGCCATCACCTTATGTGATTATCGTTTCTTCAGGCCCAACAATGACAGTAATTTTTCCCCCCCTTTTACTGCCAACAATGATTCAGATGAAACGTTTAAGTTAAATGAAAATTAAACATATGCAATGCATTTTCTAGTAACAAATTTATAAAAGAGAAATTTGGTATTAAAAAAAAAACACTTGTTGCCTACCATTATAATTCGTAAATACAACTTTTATTTTATTTTATTTTATGCAAATGACTTTTGTATGATGATTGATGCCTACTATTGACGATATGTTGCATACAGCAGAAGAAAAGTTATACTTATAAATCATAGTTACACTTGTTCAAATTTAGGTTCTTTTAGCTAATTAAGTTTTCACATAAAGATTTTTAATCAAATTTCTCTTTATAAAAATTTTAAAAATTAATCGAATTATAAATATAGTATTTTTTTATTGAAGGTAATCCGTTTTAACTAATATTGAGTATTAAATGTAGATACCTCTCCTAGTATTGGTTTGATTCAATTATTTGTAGATATATGTAATTAATAAGAGCAATTAAACGAATTATAAATTTGAGAGACTTAAATATTATATTTAGGGTCAAGAATAAGTTACAAGTTTTTATCGCTTTTTTGCTAAGCTTACATGACATAATGCCAATTACAAGACAGATCTGCAATCTGTATTTCCTTAGCCGGGAAGGGAAACAAACTCCTTGTAGGAACTTCATCAGCTTCAGAGCATTAATTCCCAGTGCAGATTAACATTCAAATGATGAGGATAGTAATAAATAAACGTGAGACCAGCATAAACAAAATATGTAGTACTTTTACCAGGCTTTGTGGTGCGAGTTTAGAAAATTGAACCTATTTACGGGAAAACATTGGATAAAAGAGAGGAATTTTCAATCTCTAGCCTCGCCCAGAAAGGCAGAAACAACACATTTCCATTTCGTTTCACGTTCGGCGGTAAAGGATAAGAAGGGGGCAAAGAGAAAAATGGTTTTACCAAATAACCCCGAGTGAAAGCAAAGCCCACCTCACCCCAAATCCCAGGAGTTGTCCTTCTTCACCTCTCTACCACCTGTTATCTCTCTTCTCTTTGTGCTTCTCAGAGAGTTTCCTATTTGCAGTCACACAAGCAGTACGTAGGTTTATGCAACTTTGTGTATAAGGGCTTGGACCCTTGGTCCTTCCCATCCTTTTGTTTTTTCGCATTTTGCCTTTTGTTTGTTGTTTCTCGCTCTTTACAACACGGGGCTTCTCTTTGTGAAATCCCTTCACTTTGATTTCTTGCTCCAATGCTAACCCATGATCCTTTACATGTAATCCCTCTGTAACTTCCCTAAAACTTTTTGATCTCCATAACCATGTCCGAGGGATCTCCCTCTCCTCCTCCGATTTCCGGCGAACCCGGTAACCGATCGTCGCCGGAACCAAATTCCGAAAACCACGTCCCTGATTCCCAAAACGGGCCTGCCACTTCAAAGGAAGAAACCACAACCGCTCCTACCACAACGAGGAGCAATCGGCCGTCGCGCGCGTGCACCATTCGCGCTGCGGCTCGTCTCTATTCATCGGTGCAGCCGGCGATCCAACGGAAGTCCAAAGAGGCAAAGAAGGAGGAGAAGCAGGAGGACTCACCGCAGCAGCAATGCAGCAAGATCGTGACGCCCTTAGTAGAACCGCCTCCACCTTCGCAGTTACCTCGGTGGAAACTGCGGTCCATGTGGGAATTAGCTTCTGTACTCAATTTCTTGCATGTGAGCTGGAAAGCTGTGATCTTTGTCTTTGGATTGCTTTTATGGGGTTCTTACTCATTCAGTGTTTTTGGGTCCAATGGTTTTGTATCTTGCCACAGGTATTTAGGCCCCTTTTAAACATCTCAGTAGAATTCTCGGCTGAAGAATTCGAGACAGCTCTCCTTATGCCCAACGACACATTGAGTGATATACATATGCCGTTGTTAAAGGTTGGTGCTTTGTGGTTTTCGTTTTTTATTGAAGCGCTATATTTCTTGTTTACGCTCATCTTCAGATGAATGTGATGCAAATTTCGTTATTTGAGTGCTTACTTTTTTGGCGTATCTCACCCGAATAAACATTCCTTCGCTTGTTTGCTTCTGTTTCATGTTGACTGAACTTGTTTTGCAATGCTTATACCTGTAAGCTGCATCGTTGCACCATAATATGCAAATGCTGGTTTTGTAGGAGTTTAGTCGCCTGCTAAGCCATAACGGAGAGGTTTGAGAGTTGCCAAATCACTTACTTTGTATGTAGGTGACTGTTGTGGTTGGAAGAAAAAAGTGATTCAGCCCGACATTTTACTTGGTTATATTAAGTAGTGATATTTATGTTCTGGAGACATCTCTATCCCAAAAGTGAGAACATGTATGGATGAAGGAAGCCCAAATGAGAAACTTGAAGAATTTGCAACAGCTGATCAAGCTTTACTCAATGTGGTAACTAACACATGGAGTCTAGGGATTGATGTAAGAAACCATAAACTAGAGACCTGTACTTTTGGGGTTTGAGGATACCTTACTAGTCGATGGCCTGAACGAACTTAATATATTATTATATGAGATGAACTTAATTGCGACTACTTTTCATCTTCAACAGATGCTAGTCATTAGTTAGTTGACAGAAGACACTGAATTGGACTATTGGAGGTTTTTATTATGTGCTTTAGAGCCCCTCTTTTACTTGTTATGAAGGGATACATACAATATGTTATTCTGTATATTGCATCTTTAAACTTCAGGTTTGTCGCATGGGACTGCACTATTTTTCGTCCTCGGCTTTAGAGATCCTCTGCATTGTGGAAGAACAGTGCGTAACCAGATAATTTACTTTATAACCAGACATGTAGTCTATATTGATAGACTGTCATCTGGCAATAACCAGATATATTGATAGCTTTAGTAATTTTGAGACAAGGTTCTTCTTTGCGCCTAGACTTACAGTTAGGTGTCTGGCATGAAATATGGTTTCAAGAGGATTCAGATTTTTTTTTTTTTGGCTTTTTTGGGGTGGGGGGGGGGGTTGCAGTGAAATGTTGAGACTTTATCCTTTGCGTGAATTCCAATGTTTTTATGAGTATAGTAGAGTCAGGCTAGTGTATTGATGCATGATTTATTGAGTTGTGTATGTAAGCAGTGATGATAGTAAGATAGTAGACAAAAAGCCTCAACCTTTAAATCACCTGAGGTGAGGGGTTCCAAGAAGGTGAACGCTTAATGAATCAAGGCACTCAAATGGGGGTAAATGAATACTATGTAAACAGAAGCAGGTAAACGTAAATTTATAGCAGCACTTGACTGGTAAATTAACTACGAAATAATCATCAATTCATTAGTCATAATTATCAATTGCAATAAATCGAGTTGATAATATCACTATTCAGAGTGATAATAGACTTGGTTTGTTTTGGTTTGTCTACATAAATCCCGAAAAGACTAATTGCCTTCTGACATTAAAAGAGCCTAAGGCACTAGTAGGTGAGCTTCTGGTTGAAGTTAGCGCCTCTCATTATGTGAGAGGTTTTGGGCTTCATGAGCGCCTTAGGCATTGAGATGAGCCCTTTAACTGCACTTGGTGATACTTGAAGCTGAACTTATTTGAATATAATCATTGGG